AAGAACCGCTGCTTTAGAACATTGATTTTGAAACTTGTGAATCCATTAGAATCGTTAGAAGACAGAATCGCGATTCATATATGAATAGATTGTTATGTGCACCTCTAGTTTTCTCTTCTCTAAAGCAGGGCAGCATGGCCCCGCCCCTTTGCTGCATGTTCCTGGGGGCGGGGTTTATCTGGGTTTGTGATGTCACGAACCCAGGAAGTAACTTGTTGTAGTCCCTACCAGCCGTTTTTGTAGGCATTAAACTGCCAGAATTTTAAAAGACGATATCTCCGTTTGCATTGAACTTTCAGCTTTGTAACTTTGCAGATATTGTTTATGCTCAAACAGCAACATTACACACTAACTAACATTAAAAAAGTGAAATCGCAATCAACCACCCCTTTAAACAAAATATATAAAAACTGTCATTTCTGCTAATGATATGTTGTCATTGGGCTAAAGCTAAAAAAGACTAAAATATTATCGACAACATTTTATGAATTCAAATAGTTAATAATTAATTTATTTTTAGTGCTGTCTCATTCTCATTACTGCAAAACAAAATATTTAAAATAAATAAATAAATTTACCTTTATTTTAATTACTTGACTTTGTTCAGTTTTTAACTGAAAAAAAAAAACATTGGAGTGTTGTTTCACAGAAAATTAAAAGTACATTATTACAGTGATGAGAAAATATAATAGACATTTTTGCTAATGAGATGAATGTGCTGTCAAGCGAAAAATATTAAAATATTATCTAGAACATTTTATGAATTAAAATAGTTAATTATTTTTAGTGCCTTCTCATTACTGCAAAATAAAATATAAATAATTGCACCTTAATTTTAATTGCCTTAATTTATTCAGAATTGAACTAAAAATATATGTTTGCAGTATTTTCACAAATAATTAAAAATGCATAACTATTACAGTAATGAGAAAATATTGTAGACATTTTTGCTAATGAGATGAATATGGTGTCATTGTGCTAAAGCTAAAAAATTGATTAATATTATCAAGAATCAACGAATTCAAATAATTAAAAAGCAATGCTTTGTTTTATTATCAACACTAGATGTATTGTTTTATCATTTCAACTCAACAAACTTCGTTTTGCTTAATGTTTTTTTATGACACTTCGTATGATATTTAACATATACAATTTTTATGTGACTGTAGCGTCAAAATTTTGGAGATTTCTTCTTTTTTTTCCTTTTTTTTTTGAGGCCACAGTATGTAACCTGTTATGATTTAATCGCTCTTGCTAGGAGCAGTCTTTTTGGTCCACTTGAAGAAAGCTACTAGAAAGGTTGCGAGCTGGGTTTAAACTTGTGTCGCCCGCTTGAGCACCACAGCTTAATATGCACTAACCATTAGGCCACAGATGATTATTTTTCTCTGTCCGAATGTACGGTGAGTGTCATGTCAGGATGCTGCGATGTATTTACTAATGGCAGTGAATGATGTTCTGTGGAGCCGTGAGGACAGCGAGAGCCCATCCGTCAGACACGGACACACAGAGCTGGTTTCACATGACACTGCCTGGTTTCGGTTGCCATGACAACGTTTCCTCCTTCCTGTTTATGAGCAGGCTGGTAATCTGAGTCGAGGTTATAGGCCTCCTCCTCCTCCTACCTATTCCTCTGTGTTTCTCTCTCTTTCTATACATTTATATACATTATGTTGCACAAAGAAAATGTGATGTTTTTCGTGAGCATTAAGATCTTTTGCATAGTCTCATGATTTTTGTGGCAATTAAGAACCTCGTCCACAAATTCTCATTAGTGAAAATGTTTTCTCATTACTGTAATACTTTAATAATTTTTTGTATTAAAAATCTTAAATAAAAAATGTTTTAATTAAAAAAAAAATAATAATATAATGCAACAAGTACTAACACAATGCATTTTGTATTATTATTACTATTATTATTATTAATTAATATGTAATATTATAAATATAAATTATAACAAAATTATAAACATTTTTAAATTAAGTTATAAATATATGATGATGATGGTTATTATTAATGATGCATTATATGATTATTATGTACATATTTTTGTGGTAGAGTTTTAGATTTAACAAGAACAAATACTACTGATACTATTATTAATGTTATTATTATTATTATTATTATTATTATAAATGCAATATTATAAATATAATTTTTTTCTACATTTATTATTTATTAACATATTAATTTGTTCATTTATTATTTTACATTGTTTATTTATGTACATATTTTTATGCCAATGATATTTAAGAACAAATACTATCACAATGCTTTTTATTTTGTATACTACACATATTATTATTATGAATATGTTTTATAATAAATGTTATTATACATTGTTTTATGTACATATTTTTGTGCTTTAGTAATTTTCTGTAAAAAAAAATACTGCAGAATGCTGCAATGCATTTATTTTTTTAATTAAAATCTGAATAAACTAATGCAATTCAACAAAAGCATTTTATGTTTTTGTATATTATAAATATTTGTTTTAATAATTTTTTTTATTATACCTTATTTTATTTATTTATTATGTATTTTTGTGGTAATTATATTTTTAGATTTTAGAATAATGACAATTCTGGAAAAGTGTATTCAATTATTGTCATTAACTGCAATAAATTTTATTATGCAAAAAAAAATCTTTAATAGTCCAAAAAGTGAGCTTCATTTTTTTTTTTTTTTTTACTATAATTAATAATATTTTTTCCTTTGATTTTGAGGTATAAATCTGACCTGCCCTGTCCTTATGCTGTGTTTTGCTGCTTGGCAAATGGATGATCTTTACCCGCATCTTTTCTCATAGATGTTAAAGCTTAACACCAATCTTGATCTGGGTTATTCTACCTTTATCACTCTTGACTCCCAGCTAAATCCATCCATTGAGTGCAATAATAATTACCTGATACAGTAATTATGAGAGCTCATGGATCAGATCCTGTCATAAACACCCTTTATTCCGTTTACATCCATGTTCTGATGTTTATCGTCTGCTTTTAACCACTGCTCGTAAACTCCCAGCAGGGTCTGTATTGCCAATCACATGCTTAGATGATCACATTAAGACACTTTGAGCAGCGAGATCCTCTCACCAGGATGCTGGTAAAATGTCATCCGGTTTTGTAGTTTGTAGTACAAAAGAGCACACATATGCAAGTGCTATGACAAGTCTCGGTTAGCCTACGCAGTACACGGAGCAAGGTTTTAAAAAAATAAAATAAATAATAATATTATTATTATTAATATTCTTCATTATGAAATGATTAAAATATATATTATACATTGTTTAGGCTATTTATTATTCCTTGTTTATATATTTTTGTGCTGTTGTTTGTTTGTTTGCTTGTTTAGCTGCAATGAGGTTTTAGTCCAAAAATAGTCAAAAAAGTAACCCCTCAAACTGCAGCATACTTCTGATTTTTTTATGTACATTATTTACTATTATTACTTTATTATTTGTAATATTTTATATATATATATATATATATAGTATATAGATATAGTGACTAGTGTATATGACTATATATATATATATATATATATACACTATATGAATAGTGTGTGTGTGTGT